GTTGTAAGACATGAGGAAGTGCAACCAAGGGCAACAAGATTCCGCCTCGTGGATAGGCCACTTTGGCCGGCGCTCCCATCCGCCAGTCGTGGCCATCCTCCGCTTGCCAGCCAATCGTGCCTGGGTCGAGTCCCGCAGTGGACAACAGCCCTGACGACTGGGCCGTCTCGCTGCACTCTTGTCGCGAGGGACAAGCAGTGGCCGCCAAGTGAAAGAGTGCTATTATGTTTGACGAGATGGTCGACAACGGCCCTGGCGTGACACTCGACAATGTGAACAAAGAGAATGCGACCCGGTGAATTCGTTTTGTCCTTTTGCAGACAATGGAAGAGCCAGCCCAGCTCGGTTGTGCCGCTTCTGCCGGCTCAGCTTGTACTGCATTTCTAGCCCAGTTCGCATAAGGATTGTTGGAAACCACTTTGGATGGCTCGTTTGTTGGCCAGCCATTGCGCTCAACTTCCGCTGACCCTCTCACCTCTCCAGACCATCAGAGCCGAAGAGGCCCACTCCATCTGTCCATTCACCAATCGACCAGCCCCACTTTGGAGATGATCACTGCGATATTCGCACAAATCTTTAAGGCCGTTTAACAGCTCCATTTAGAACTTGCACTTGTTTAGACGTTGTTTGACTTCGCTTTCGCCACTTGGTCCTATTGCCAGGGTGACCCAGAGGGTAACACCTTGACTACAGTTCACAGTATGCATGATAATTTCACGAGTGGGGCTGTGGACTAGGTACACTCCCAGACTTTGGAAGTTGTCAAGCATATTATGGACTCCGGACTAGGTACCTTTCTCAGGGTCTCCTTGTCAATAAGGCCAAACAACTTTTATAGAACAAAAGGAAAGCGCGACCATACCAAAGGCCACATTATCTTTATCTTCAAGCCTTCGATTGCACATGTTTGCTCATTCCTCAGCCACTGCGACCCTCAAATTTCAGGGCCATTTGAGACCTCCAGATTGGTTTCAACTTTCTCTTGCTTGCTCACAGCTCGGCCCTCGCAATTTTAGGACACGTGACTTTTTGAATTGTATAAAAATGTATCTTCGAATTAAGTAGTTTTCCCAAAATGCGATTGAATTTCACCAACTCTTCTTCCCAAAAGGTATCCTCATCCCGGCTGGACTTGATTGCCGTTTCAACCTCGCCCGAATCCGTCTTATCAACACTTCCAGTAGGAATCGAACCCAAATTGTGCATCGTTCAATGTAGACGTAAATAAAAACAGCATGTTATTAAATTACATTAGCTGTACATGAAGAACTGTGGGACCTTTATTTCGAATGAAAGTGCTTGATAAAGAAATTCGTAGGCCGATGGCAGCCGATTCCAGTTCATTTGCAGACGTAATGAATTCTTTCCAAGCGGGAACTAATAAGAAAGGGAAAGGTAAAAATTTTTTTTCAAACCGTATGATCTGTATTCAGTCTATTACATTTAAGGTGATAACGGGGACTGGTAGCTGAATTTTCCCACAATCAAATGAGTATACCTTCCGTTTCTATTGAATTTAATATAACCTTGCTACCCAAAAGTTATTCTTATTCTGTGGTGGGAATGTCGGTGA